TTTAATTCCGAAAAAAAAAAAAAAAAAAAAAAAAAAAAAAGAAATCTGAGTGTAAATTAAATTTTATTAATCCTAATCTTCTCTAACAACCATAACTTAAAACTCCTTTCAAGAGTCAGGGACCCACTACAACCATGTTCAGATTAACATTTTTCTTTAAAAGATCCAGAGTTCAAAAATAAGTGAAAATTCATCCTCTCCTTCAAATTTACTTGATTTAACATTATTTAATCATTGGTAATAGCCACAGTTCCTTTTTGTCCTACACCTCAACCAATCCCATGTGCCTCTCTTACCCATTCAACAAAAAACAAAATATACTCCCTAGAAACCACTCATGTGGCCATCCATAACAAAACCCAGAATTCATGATTCATAAAAGAGGAAAGTATAGAAAGTAATTATGAGGAGAGAAACATTTCTTCACCGTGGTTCTTTTCATACTAGAAAAAAAAAATTTTTTGTTTTGTACCGGGGATTGAACTTGGGATCTTGTGCTTGTGAGGCAAGCAGCAGAACCACTGAGCTAAATCCCCAGCAGGAAACTTTTCAAAAACTATGGATGCTGCTACTACTTGCCTTTGATAGCCCGCCCAACCACCACCACCACCACCACCACCAACACCACCACTGGGGACTGAACTCAGGACAACCTGCGCCTGTGAGGCAGGCACTGGGACCACTGAGCTAAATCCCTGGCCTGTCTTTGCTATTTTTGCTTTCTCTTAAAAAACAAAAGTAAAAGACTATAAGAGAAGGACACATACCAACACGTGTACTTACTTCCTTGTGGTCCATAGAACTTCACTACAAATTCATTGAGTCCTCCCAGGATTGTAACTTCATGCTTACTCTCAATGCTAAGGTAGAAGTTAAAGGAAATTACACAGGCTTTATAAATTCCTGGAAAAAGTACTAATGACACCCCCAAGATAGGGCAATTAAAGTGTTACCAAAACTTGCTATGATACCAATAAAATACAAAATACAGTGGTACCTCCACTTACAAACTTAATTCATTTCATGACTCTGGGGAAAGCTGCCACATTCGTGTTTGTGCAAAAAATATGGCTACGATTGTGTTCATCACCTGATGCAGAGTTCCCAAACAAAAACAAAATTGTGTCAAATGCTTCTGTATGAGGACCAAATTGTCTGCAAACTAAAGCGTTCATGAACTTAGGTCCCACCATATACATAACTCTAGTAGTTTAGGAAGCAATTTATTCTCATGAAAACAATAAGGCATAAGCTTCAGGTTCAGAGATTAGTGTTCGAATCCCTGGACTGTCAATTACCGGGTGTGTAAATCTAGACAAAATAATGTAAATTTGCTCTGGGGCCAGGGATTTAGGCTCAGCTCAGTGGTGCCACTGCCTGCCTTGTGCAAGGTCCTCAGTTTGATCCTCTGTAGCAAAAACTAAAATAAAATAAATTTGCTCCCCAATCTTTTGTCCTCTCTCTGCCAATTGGGGAAACACTACTTCATAGGATTTCTATGAAGATTAAATATGGAAAGTTGTTTTAAGGCTGCATTTACCTATATGTAAATAAAAATGGGGCACCTTTAGTTTTTCTCCCTTTTGCATCCTTTTCTATGTCTGCATCCCAATCTATTCCCAACAAGCCCTTAACATAAATTCATTATTTCCTTCAGTCAAATTCAAATGCTCAGAAAATACTGATTCTCCTAGGCTACTGTGGCTGACCTCACAGTGGCTTGCCCTGTGTTCCTTGGGGTATACTTCTTTTATTTGGCCCAACTTTGTGGTGCAGAGCCAGTTTCACCCTTACCCTTCACTTTTACTTTTTATAAACTTTGTCACCATTAAAAAAAGAGATACTCCTAAAATTATGAATTTACTAAAACAAGCCCCCATAATTTTCTCCTTGGTTTATGGAATAAAGTTACTGGTAGAACTTTGCTACAAGCAGACCAAAAACAAAACAAAACAAAACAAAATTCTTGATACATTCATTGACATGGCTGTAACTCTGCAAGTCTTGCTGCTGGGTGGCTCTGAACCACTGATGGTACATGCATGACTGTCTGATCTAGCATGACCATCAGTGGTTCAGGCTGGTGGGAACATGTTAAATCTTTTCTGTTACTCTTATATTCACCTGTGTAACATTTCTTGCCCTCCCCAAACTCCATCCCCCTTTATATGTCTCTAGGTTTTGGTATGGTCTGGAACTCTAAACATAGAGCACACACCTTTTGAAGAGACTCATACCTTTTAAAGTACTAAGCTTCAATTACAGAAACCAAATTCACGTGTATCAGTAGAAGAGCTACCAAGGCAAACTACGTTCTATGTATGTCTCCATGTCACGATCTAACCCAATAATGACTCTATTGTAGGTATTTTACGTTGTAGGGATTTTGGGAAGATTTCAAGTGTCTCCGTAACATTGGGTTATTTTGTTTTTTGTTTTTGTTTTTTTTGTACTGGGGATCGAACTCAGGACCTCACACTTGTGAAGCAGGCAGCTGCACCACTGAGATAAATCCCTATTCCTTTTTCAGTTGTATTTTTTTTTTAAGAGTAGGAAAATTTTATTGAGGGAAAGAAAGCTTCTAAGAGAGACAGAAGGATGACCGGAAAGTGGGTTGCCACTTATATTTAGCTTTTTGAGACAAGATCTTGCTATTAGTTCAGGCTAGCTTTCAACTCACTATGTAACCCAGACTGGTCTCAAATTCAGTGATCTTCCTCCTCAGGCTCTGGAGTGCTGGGATAAGAGGCATGCACCACCTGTCCAGCTGCAACATTGTTTTAATGGTTTGAAATTAAGCATCTGGCTCCCCAGGCATCTTTCCTGTAGGCCACAGTACAGCCTACAAGAGGCAAGGTATATTTTGGTAAAAGCCTATCTGTAATCTTGCATAACATCCTTAAGAGATATCAAATAAGATACTTCAGTGTAGGTTAATTTGATCTTATTCTTTTCTAAATGAAAATTAACTACTTTAATAACAAGCACATTAAAAAGATTCAGATTGAATCCACATACAAAAACTGGCCTCATTTCTTGCTGGTCAAATGATACACACATGCCTGCGGGCATGCTAAATTCTTCCTGACCAAATATCCTCTGACACCCAAAACATTCCAGTTAATACTAATACAATATCTATGTATATATATTTTTGGTACCAGGGATTGAACTCCAGCTCTTGTGCTTGCAAGGCAGGTGGCAGCACCAGTGAACTAAATCCCCAGCTAAGAATATATGTTTTAAAATTGGAAAAATCTCCCTTGTTTTCAGTTGGGTGGGTAACTCCAGCTGTAATAAGCAATAAAACATCCAAAAATAGGAAATACATATCAAAAGTACGCTGAGATTTCATTTTACCCTAATCAGAATATAAAAACAATACATGCAAACAACAACAACAACAACAACAAATAATAATAAATGCTTGCCAGGATGCAGGGATAAAGGAACCCTTCTACACTAGAGTGGAAAATGTAAATTAAATACAACTGCTATGGAAATAAATATAGAGGTTCCTCAACAACTTAAAAACAGAACTACCATTTGATCCAGCTATACAACTTCTTAGTGTATACCTGAAGGAATTAAAGCACATCACAGGCTATCTGGATCCCCATGTTTACTGCAGCATAATATACAATAGCCAAGGTAGAGAATCAGCCTAGGTGCCCATCAACAGATGAATGGGTAACGAAAATGTGGTATATATACACGGTGGAGTATTAATCAACCATAAAAAGGAAACACAACTTTGTCATTTGCAGAAAAATGGGTGGATCTGAAGATCAGCATATTAAGTAAAATAAGCCAGATTCAGAAAGACAAATACCACATTCTCTCTAATATGTGAAATTTTAAAAGTAGAAGGGATACTATTATTAGATAAGAGGAAGCAAAGAAAAGGGATGAAGAGGGGAGTGTAAGAATGAATAATATGGGCATGAATATGATAAAAATACATTAACATACATTGAAAACCACCTCAAAAATGTGAAACTGGGGAAGACTGGGACTAGGGGTGTGCTGAGGGGGAAATGATTAAAGTCCATTATATGCATGTAACAAATCTACCCAAATGACAGCTATTAATCCATATAGCCAATAAAAATGTGTCAGGGAGGATACCTCAGAAGAAGAAAAAAGTTTTTTCAGTAGAAAAGACCTTCCTAAGAATGAAGGCAAAGCCAAAAACCACAAAAGAAAAAGTAGCAAATAAAAACGTACGCACATTTAAAACATCTATATTTTAAACAACAGAAGACAAATTAGGAAAAAATATATAGTATAGACCAATGGTTGTGAACCTATGGCATACATGCATGCTGCAGTAGGCTGTTATTACTGAAAGCTCTAAAAGGTTCGCCATCATTGGCACAGACTCCAAAAATGTGTATTTTGCTGAGAGTATAGTACAAGTGATAGTGGATGCACTTAGAATGTACAAGGTCCTGTACTCAATATTCAGCATCCTCCAAAAAAGTGAATTTTTAAAATAAGGAGCTTGGCCTGGTATAGTGGTGCACAACTATAATCCCAGCACTCAGGAGGCTGAGGCAGGAGATCGATCACCTCTGGTTCAAATCAGCCTAGGCTACATAGTTTGAAGACAGCCTATCTCAAAAATAAATAAATAAAAAATAAAAAATAAGTCCCAAAAAGGAAAACAAAGATTTCATTACAAAGCAATGGAGGAGGGAAGACACCAGAGGGTGTCCTAACAAAGAAAAGGTCAAAACAGCCAAGCTAAGAAAAGAAAACCAGGGCTGGGGATGTAGCTCAAGGGTACCACACCTGCCTGGCAAGGTCCTGAGTTCAATTCCTGGTCCTAGCGGGTGCGGGGGAGACTAGAAGAAAACTGAAATGGAGAAATTAAGGTTCAGAGCCAGGTGTGTGGTTCATGCTTGTAATCAAATCCCTGCAGAGACTGAGGCAGGAGGATCACCATGAGTTCAAGGCCAGCCTGAGTACATAGCAAGACCTTGTCTTAACTCCCATCCCGTTCAACTCAGGTGGGCACACTGGCACAGCTACTCAGGAGGCTAAGACAGAAGGACTATTCAATTCAAGGGGATGAGGATGTATTTCAGTAGAAAGCTTGCATACCATGTGTGAGGCCATGGGTTCAATCTCTAGCACCAGGGGAGGGAGTTTAACTTATTAAAAAAGCTTAAAATTCATTTTTTCCACTATAAATTGATGACGATTAAAGAGCTACATAAAAAATCTAGTGTTCAGTAGAGTATAATTTGGTACTTTTGAGGACAAATCTAGCACCATTCTAAAACAAACAAAAGAAAATTTACTGGGCTAGGCATGGTGGCGCATGCATATAATACTAGCACTCACAAGGCTGAGGCAGGAGGATTGTCATGAGGCCAGCCTGGGATACATAATGAGTTCAAGGACAGCTGGAATTACATAGCAAGACCTTGTCTCAAAAAAAAAAAAAAAAAAAAAAAAAAAAAACAAAAAAAACAACAAACAAAAA